ACAGTGTGAAACAGCAATAACTTCGAAAGTCTCCAAAAACTCATCCCTTATAAGAATAGCAGTACCTCCACCACTCTTGGTAATTCTACAATATTTAGACACCAGTGTATAACCATTGATAGAAAATATTTCATTTGTCGCCAACCAATGTTCAGTCAGCAGCAGTATGTCCGGGAAGTTTTCATTTTCAAGAAATAGGTACAGATCATCAATTTTGTTTCGTAGCGATTGAATATTCAATAAAAATACAGACACCTGTTTTTTTCGATTGCAATCTTGAGCTATGTTAGAGTTTTTGGGGGTGTTATTTGAGCTAAAAAATCTATCTGTTCTTGCTGAATAAAATGCATTTCACTTTTGGAGTTATTGAAACATGTTCGTGGCTCTAAGACGTTTACGGAAGTGCCATTTGATAAAACTTTCTTTACCAAAATTAAACCTTCTTTATCGCCAACACTAGCACAGTCGCTGTTACTATTACAATTCAGAATTGACTCGTGAGATTCTAAGTTACTATGTATTGATGGTGAAAGTAGAGGTTGAGGTTGGTCACAGGTTTTCACAAATATTAGTGGCTTTAAGTTGTTGTAGCGGTGTGGGTTTGCCGATAAATTTATTATTGACTCCCCCACAAGCTTACCAATTTGCCAGTTTCTAACACACAGTCCTTTTTTGTTGTTGATATCTATGTGTTCCAAAGATGTCTCAGAAATCCTATCAACCTTACTTATAAAAGATCCTTATCTTATCCTACTCTTCAATAGTATGGTCTCCTTATTATTTAAATCATATCTACACCCTGGAAAAGGTGCAAAACAAATTTCTCAAAAGTTGTGCGTGGAAATTAAATTTGCAAAATTCATCAATGGTAGAGATAAGATCATTGCTTAATCTTAGGCGTATTTTAGCGACAGGTAAACATCATACTACACATACTACGATTCATGACGTCATAGTTACCTAAATAACATGTGGAGTGTATTTGACAAAGGGTCTAAAAGAGGACACCATGATCGTTGTTTATTTTGGTTTGCTGAATTTTGCAAAATTTTGCATTTTCGAGTTTCATTATTATTTCTCCAGTGAAGATTTTCGAATATTTTCGATAGATTGTGGTATTTTGAATTTTATGGGGACCTCATGCCAAAAAAATAAAATAAATAAAATTACATTTTTGTACACAAGTGAAGATTTTTTTTTGCAAAACACCTAAAAAAAAACTCTAAAATAAAATCACAGAAAACCATAACAAAATGGGGAAAAACAATCCTCTATTTATAATGGAAAGAACAAAGAACTGTGTTGGTAATCGTAGCGTAGTCAGCTGATGTTTTGCCCATATACTCATTTTCGTGTAGGTATTAGAAAAAGAGGCACTGACATAGATACTACAACCAGTAACTATCCCTCGTAGGATGGTTACATGTTTACAGCCGAGTTTTATGTTGTGTTTTATGTTGTGACGTCATAGTATGTTAGCCATGATCGCTAAAATGTAGTATCCCAAGTAAATACAACATACTACTAGGTTAAAACTCTCGCTAAAATACGCCACTTGATTCCCTTGAGGATTATAGAACTGGATGTGACCTAACATTTTTATATGGATTACTTAATTGCCATATTGACTGCTCTGATTTACTAGGCCTTATAAATTTTAAATGTAGTAATAGAATTCTTAGAAATATGCCATTGTTTACAATTGAAAACCATCACACAAATTATGGGAAATATTCTCCTGTTAATAGAATTCAGTTGTTGGGAAATTATTTTACCCAACACCACTATGAACTGATTGATATTGGGTTTTCAAAGTTTAAAGTCCTAATTATACACTATTTGGGGTAAATAGGGATGGCAGGGGAGGAGGTGTTGGTATTTATGTTAGTAATAGTTTAAATTGTGCATACACGCTACAAGATTTCCCATCGATTGAGGGGTTGGAGCTTGTTTTCATTGAATTGATGATTGGAAAGGAGAAAATTTTGGTGGGATCAGTTTACAAACCCCCAAAGTCAAACCTACAAAAATGTGTTGATTATTTCGATGATCTGTTGTCTTTTATTGGTCCTCAATATAAAAATATTATTGTTCTAGGTGACGTAAACGTAGACCATTATTTTGATAATATTCTTTTAGAATGCTTTTCGACCTACGACTTTGCTCAGTTGGTAAGTGAGCCCACCAGAATAACAAGCACCACTCAGAAAATTATTGATGTTATATATTTTAACCAACCCTCAATGGTAATAGATTGTATCACGCTCAACGCGGATTTGATTTCTGACCACAGAGCTATCATTTGTGAGTTAAATATATCCGTGGAAAAGTCTAAACCAAAAATGGTTTTTTATCGAAATTTTAAGCAGCTCACTATTGATGAATTAAATAGGGATATTCAGGTCATTTTATGGGATGACATTTTCTATATTCAAGACATAGAGGAAAAAATTACTTTTTTCAACACAAATCTTTTAAATTTATTTAATAAACATGCTCCTTTTGTAACGGCCAGGGTGACTAAACCTATTTCTCCATGGATCACGTATAATATAAAATCCCTTATGAACCAGAGAGATAAAGCTTTGTCCAAATTTAAAAAGACTAAAAATATTGGGGATTGGGCCTACTATAAAAAACTACGAAACACTGTGGGCTATGCTATACGGCAAGAAAAGAAATCTTTTCTTGAATTCCACCAAAGATCCAACAACAGTAAAGAACTGTGGAAGGCCATTAACAAGCTTAATTTGAAAAGAAGCGCAAACCGAGAGTTACCTGAAAACTTACGTAACCCAAGCGAAATAAATCAGTATTTTGCCTCAGTCTATGGTCAGCATCATAATTGTACAGACACTGTGAAAGAGTTTTCAGGTGCCAGGTACGATGAAAACTTAAACTTTTCCTTCAATTTGGCAACAATGGAAGAAATAAAAAATATAATTTTGGATTTAAAATCCAACGTTTCTGGCTATGATGGTATATCAGCGCAGATGCTGAAATTATGCATAAACTTTCTTTTACCACACATTACAAACATTATAAACTGTTGTTTGGAGACAGGATACTTTCCGAATGCGTGGAAGATCTCAATAGTGAAACCATTACCTAAAATAAATCAACCACAGTCTTATTCCGATCTGAGACCTATTTCATTAATACCTACATTGTCTAAAATTCTAGAAAAGCATATTCAACCGCAAATATATGATTTTTTTATTTTGAACAGCATAATTCCACAAACACAATCAGGCTTTCGAAAAGGCCATAGCACGTCTTCCGTTCTTGCCAAACTTACAGACGAAATATTTACTGCTCTGGACGAAGGTTTATCTACTGCAGTGATAATGCTAGATTTTTCCAAAGCATTTGACACCCTTGATTTTGATCTTCTTTGTGCCAAACTAAGTTATTATGGATGTAATGATGTGGTCGTCAACTTTTTCAAGAACTATCTGAAAAACCGTAAACAGCAGGTGGTTATTCCAGATTGCGATCCCTCTGGGTTGGAAAATATAACGTCAGGGGTCCCACAAGGATCCGTTTTAGGTCCCATTCTTTTTTTAATTTACACAGCTGACATGTTCAAAATGGTTGAAAATTGTCAAATTGGAGGTTTCGCTGATGATACAGAACTTTCTTATAGTTTTGATAGCAGTCTAGTTGAGCAAGCGTCCGAATCTATAAATAATGACCTTTCAAGAATTCTGGATTATGCTAATAAGAATAACCTTAAATTAAATGCCTCTAAATGCTGTGTCATGACCTTTTCCCCAAAAAACAAAAAAGAATATATCAGATCAAATTTACGTATTTTTGTAGGTCCTACACAGCTAGAAATAGTCGACAGGGCAAAAAATCTAGGTATTACTTTTGATACAAATTTGAGATTCAATACCCACATTTCTAATACTATAAAAAAAGCGTATTTTGCATTAAAACCACTGTACTATAACAAATCAATCATCAATTTTAGGTTAAGAAAAAGGCTTTGCGAATCATTAGTTCTTCCGATTTTGAACTATTGCAATATAGTTGTCTTTCCATGTTTAGATAAAAAAACTGCGGGCAGGCTGCAGAAATTTCAAAATGCTTGCTGCAGATTCGTCTATGGTTTGAAAAAATTTGAAAGAGGTATATCCACAAAAATCAACCAGCTGGGCTGGTTACGAATGGAAAATTTATTTATTTGTAACTTGACCGTGTTTGTACATGGAATGATTTCATCCTCCTCTCCTCCCTACCTTCGACGAAAACTAATTCAAAGAAGTCAAGTACATAGTGTAAATCTAAGATACCTAAATGGGTTTACAATGCCTCAACATCGTTTAACCAGTTTTCTCCGTAGTTTCACTTATAATGCAGTAAAACACTACAACAAGTATTCAAATATTGTTGAAAGTAAAAATTGCTCTGTTGCAAATTTTCGAAAGAATGTTAAAAACCATTTATTATTGGAACAAGGGAACAGGGTTTGATCAGATGAAAATCATACGTTTCTTTTTAATGGTAATGTAAAATACTGTTTCTTTTTTTTTGTATCTTTTTTTTTTTTTTTTTTTCAGGGTAACATTTCTGTTAGTTTCATTTTTATAGTGATTTTAATAATTATTTTTGCTAGCTATATATTCTGTACTACCATCTACAAATATTTTCTTTTGTTAACTTAAAGGTTAAGTAGAGTAGCCTTAGAGCTAGACTTCGCCTATTTGTAAAAATTTATTACAATAAAGACGTTTCAATTCAATTCAATTCAATTCAATTCAATTCAATAAACTTTATGTTAGTAAATATATTAGAAATATAAGGTAAAATTCCTTAAGTAGTAGTCTATATATTTCTGTTTCTTTTTCTCTTTATTCATTTTTATAATATTGCGTAATAGAGATATTATTTTTGTTTTGGTTAGAATATTTTTACTTATTGTAAATTTTTGTTAAAATGGGGACAACCCGTATAAATAAATAAATAAATAAATAAATAAAAGTTTGGTATGTTACCTTTTCTTGATGAGTTTTTACCATTGCTCAAAATAGTGGCAAGGGAGGCTGCCAACGACGGCTTTTCCGCCACCATCAGGATAGTCCTCATCTTGTCCTTATTAAAAATAGGATTAATAATAAAAATAAATTTCCAACTGTGTAGAAAAAATAAATTCGATTTAGTAATTTTTAAATTTCATGAATATTTATAAAAAAAAATTTAAGCAACAACTGACTAAACAATAAACATAACTTTAACCTCAAAACGAAAAATTCAATATGGCGTGGCGGCCAGCAAGTTTGTTTTGAATATGTGTTTTCATGTATTCATGTATATTTTAATTATTTTGCTTCAAGCTTTGCTTGCAGCTTTGATTTTGATTATTCAATAAAATATTTGCTTACTAGGTACCATCGTCACCAAAAGTATCTGGGACACAAATAATGCATAATAATCTCCTGGACTAATTTTACTGTCATTCATTTCAATGCATTTAATACATAGTTTGACAAATATTTGACAATAAAATTCATATAATAGGATAAGAGCTTATGTGATGCTGTCCCAGTTACTTTTGGTGACGATGGTACGTAAACTATTAAGTCGGGCAGAAATTAGACATTTTTTTGTGTTTTTTGATCCATGTATGGCTGCCACGCCATCTTGAATGTCACGTGGTTTGAATTGCCTCAATTTTTATTTTTTTGCGGTATCAAATCAAAAGTTCTTTTCATGTGGCTCCGGCTTAAACTAACCGGGCTACAAAACAGTTAGAGAAATGACATACCGTTTTCTAACCTGGTTACAAAGTGACGTGATGGATGATGAATACCCACCACTCGAATTTGATCGGTATGTTGCGGTTTGTTAAACCGGAGCCACGTGAACAGGGTTAAAGCGATGGAAGTTAAGGTATGGTTTCACTTGTGCGTATGGCGGCTGCGTCCGTACGCAACCGCTAGCCGTAGCGACTGGCAGTGCAGTTGTGGGCCGGTTTCTCAATAGTTGTATTCTTTTTCACACCTAGGAGGAGCTCCGGAACAGTTCCGTCCGGGGCGACGCGCTTATTCCTTCTGAAAAGTGTTTGTTGCACCTCTGGTGCTCAAGCACGCGTGTGAAGTTAGCACCCGATTTCCAGCAACGATTTTTCAGGAGAAGCGCATTACCGCCAGCGGTAGTTTAAGGATGGTATAAATTCTAACGTTTTCGACGTCGGCAATGATAAATACATAGGTATAATAAAAGCAAGTTTTTAAAATTTCTACAGAAAAAAAAACTTTTCGTCGGTAGGAAATTTGTGTTTTCCAAGAATGTGTTTTCCAATACAAAATTGACTGACAGAAAACTTTTTTTTTTTTGGAAAACTGAAAGATGTGTCACTTTTTGTGTCAATTTTTTTTTCAAAATAAATGTGTGATAGTAAGCTTCCATTAAATCCAGCAGGGAAAAATTTTTCATCGGTAGAAAGTTTTTTATCAGTGAAAATTCGAGAAGGTGTTTTCGAATACGAAACTAATATGAAAGGAAATATATTTTTTTTTCGAAAACTAAAAGATGTGTCACTCTAATTTTTTTTTCAAAATGAAGGTCTGAAAATAAGCTTCCAATAAATCCACCAGAGAAAAATTTTTCAATGGTAGAAATTTTTTTATCAGTGAAAATTCGAGAAGGTGTTTTCGAACACGAAACTAAAAGTCGTTCAATCTCGGTTTAATAAATTGCTCGGAAAATCTGAAGTTGTCAGCGAAATAATCGGTACTAATACGAAACAGACTAAAAGAGGAATTTTTGATGGTGCTTCTTACGCATTCAATTGGCTATTTGGCATGCCTGATGCCGATGATGCTAAATTTTATGACAAATCGATAAAAACTCTAATTCAAAGTAATAGAAATACACAACTTTTGATGAAACAACAAATTGGCATAATTTCTAGTACGATATCTAATTTTAATTATAGTATACGAAATTTTAAATCTAATCAAGAAACTCTAAACTCTAATATTAAAATTTTCAACTCCTTCTCAGCCTCAGCAGATACCAATAAACGTATTCACGTAAACAAACTGAAACTTATCATCAGTTCACATATTGCCTTACTCACACAAATATTAGAAGATCTGAACGAAGAATATGATTTATTAATCTCAGCTATAACAATGGCCAGACATAATATCCTACATCCGAAAGTTATAACACCAAAACAATTATTAAATGTACTTTCGGAAATCAAATTGAACAACGGACTTCAATTATCGTTCCCAATATCTTATTCAACTATTTATAAATATTTTGAGATCAGTAAACTAAAAGTTTTTCATTCTGATAACATAATTATTTTTGCAATTGAAATTCCATTGACTGACGAAATGACCTACAATCTGTTCAAATTATTGCCACTTCCAACACCTCATAATTTTTCTGATATTCATTACTATATCCTACCTGATTTTCCTTACCTGCTGATAAGTATTAGTAAGGTTAGTTATGTGCAAATGAAAGACCTTACCAAGTGTACAACGATCACAGAAGAGGAATTCATCTTCCAAAACACTCAAGCTACAAGGATTCAAGAACCTCCTAAGTGCGAAGTCGCATTGTTTACATCATTTTCTACCAAAATCCCTGCTGACTGTCATACCGTTACTTCCAAAGCAGACTTCGAGATATGGCATCCACTGAGCGACAACTCTTGGCTTTTCGTACTATCGACGCCTTTACAGCTTACTCTGGCTTGTGATAATTTTCCAATCGAAGATATAAAAATTGCATCAACAGGGCTGTTAAGTTTGGAACCCAAATGCAGAGGCTATACTCAAAATATTATCTTGGAAAGCTCAGGAATCATTACACGGAATATTTCAAAACAAATTTCAGATATCAATATTGCACTTGACGATTGCTGCTATGCCAAAGAAGCCAGATTCAACAACACACCAATCACACTACAACCAATAAGACTTTCCAATATCAAATTGGACGATTTACAGTTTGCGAATCACAAACTTGGACAACTGGACCAATTGCTGGATGAAGAATTGAAGAAGCCATTTATTATTCAACACTCTCATTGGTTCATTATCATTATTTCTTTTATAGCGTCAGTTGTTCTTTTGGTAATAGTGTACAATTTTCTTAAGTGGTGCGGATTAATATCATGCATTAAAAGTATGTTTTGTTGTACTAAAAGCCCAAAGCACATATCGGATTCCTGCTGTATTAAGCTTTTCAATACAAATATAAATACCACTCCAGGGACAAGTCAAAACATATCAAGAATTCTAGAAGAAGAAGCCAGAACAAAAATGGGCGAAGGGATTGAACTAAATAACCTTCTAAGTTCCAATGAAGCAACCACATCCACTACGAATTCCATGTCCATGCGAAGATCAGTCACCCCAAGACCGTCCATATAAAATGTCTTAGTAAAAGATATGTTTGTATATTCTTAGGTATAAGTTAGTTTACATTTTTTTTTTCTCTTTCCTTTTTATTCCTACCTTTATATTAAGTTAAGCTTCATATTATTTTACGTTAGTTTTTTATAATTGTATTTCTTAAAGGATTTGTTTTGAAGAAATTTCTTTATGAAAATTTCTTTTTTTTTTCAAGGGGGGAAGTGTCATATTCCTCCATAATATCATGACATTGTACCTTTTACGACTCTCGAATACTTTCCCAAATAATGTCTCGCCGTCGCCGAAAGCAATACTATTATATGACCCAGACTTTCTGTTAAAGAACCCAAAGATATTGTATGTAAATAAATTAAACATTTGTCCACCATAAACCCCAAAATTCCCAAATATCCTTAATGGTCATTCTTTGGGCGAACAGACTGTCATTTATTGCCAATATTTATTTAGGGTTTTCCAGTTGTAATTATGTAGGTTTTAGAAACGTTTTAGAAGGGATGTAAAGGTCGATTTGTAAGAGATCTAGTGAAGCAAGAAGACAGTCTTAAGACAGCTTCAGTCGTAGTAACACATTTTGTTAAAACTCTCTCTAAAATAAGTCTTACTTTTGCTGTAGTTCAATTTCATTCTATATTCCATTACCTAATAAAGCTACAAGTTTCAAACCAAAAACAAAAGTAGTTTTAACCAAGGCAAAACACTGAAGGATCACAACAGTATACTAGAGAGTAGGTATTCTACCGATGAAAAATATATTCCTAGCGAATATTATAAAAGCCCACCTTTAGCTTCAATTTGAAACAAAAATAAAAGTGACAGATCTTCTTGAATTTTCACTGCTAAAAAATTTTCTACCGATGAAAAATTTTTCCCTGGTGAATTTAATAGGAGCCTACCATCATACCTTCATTTTGAAAAAAAAATTAGAGTGACACATCTTTTAGTTTCCGAAAAAAAAAATATTTCCTGTCATATTGATTTCGTGTTTGAAAACACCTTCTCGAATTTTCACTCATAAAAAATTTTCTACCGATGAAAAATTTTTCTCTGGTGGATTTAATGGAAGCTTATTATCAGACCTTCGTTTTGAAAAAAAAATTAGAGTGACACATCTTTTAGTTTTCGAAAAAAAATATATATTTCCTTTCATATTGATTTCGTGTTTGAAAACACCTTCTCGAATTTTCACTGATAAAAAATTTTCTACCGATGAAAAATTTTTCTCTGGTGGATTTAATGGAAGCTTATTATCACACCTTCATTTTGAAAAAAAAATTAGAGTGACACATCTTTTAGTTTTCGAAAAAAAATATATATTTCCTTTCATATTGATTTCGTGTTTGAAAACACCTTCTCGAATTTTCACTCATAAAAAATTTTCTACCGATGAAAAATTTTTCTCTGGTGGATTTAATGGAAGCTTATTATCAGACCTTCGTTTTGAAAAAAAAATTAGAGTGACACATCTTTTAGTTTTCGAAAAAAAATATATATTTCCTTTCATATTGATTTCGTGTTTGAAAACACCTTCTCGAATTTTCACTGATAAAAAATTTTCTACCGATGAAAAATTTTTCTCTGGTGGATTTAATGGAAGCTTATTATCACACCTTCATTTTGAAAAAAAAATTAGAGTGAAACATCTTTTAGTTTCCGAAAAAAAAAATATTTCCTGTCATATTGATTTCGTGTTTGAAAACACCTTCTCGAATTTTCACTCATAAAAAATTTTCTACCGATGAAAAATTTTTCTCTGGTGGATTTAATGGAAGCTTATTATCAGACCTTCGTTTTGAAAAAAAAATTAGAGTGACACATCTTTTAG